TCCTAGATCTCATACCATTTGTACCATAAATGCTTTTGTACATTTCAGCTGTGAGCTTCAAGATAGCAGAGACCCATCCTGTGTCCTGAGCACTTCAGATGGTGCCCGACACAGAGTGGCTCCTGGGAAATAAATACGTTGTTCTGAATTGACTGACTAGATGAACGAATTGGATTCAGCCTTTAGAACTGAGCCTGCAAACTAGCTGGAATTTGAATGACTGGAATGTGAATGCTGGCTGGGAGCCCACAGCCTCCTGGGGGCCTGTCCCAGAGCCTGGGCTTTTCAGGAGGCTCTGGAATCTGTCATTCATCAGACTTTAAGGTTGGTTGATTCTTAGCCAAGCATCTCTGATGTTGCAACTACCCTGTAGTTTGAGGTAACCTTGCAGAGAGAGGACTATTAAGATAAAGCTTTTATCTCTGCTTGGTTCATACTTAGTTCACAATTATAGACCTGAGACTTTTTAAAAATTATAATACTGTATTTACTTAGGCCAAAATGATTAGGACCAAGAAAAAAAATCAAAGTATATAATACGTCTGAAGTATTTTCTTTAATACCATCTTTCTATCTTGGCAATGGTATTTTAATGACACAAATGAGAGATAATTGAATGCACATTTTTTTCCAAGCAGTTATGGCTATATTTAAAACCCTAAATGCTATCTACACTGAGGGGGACCCTGAGGCCACAGTCACTACATGTGACATTTCTAGCTCTTACAAGGTAAAAGTCAGGCCCGGGCTTGAGCTTTGGAAGTCCCTGGTGGTAGAATGGCAGCCTCTAAAAATGCCTTCGACGTAGTCCTTCTCTCTCTTCATTCAGGAAAAGGTATGTGCCATAATACAATGGGAAGTGCCCATTCGCTAGTACTTTTTTTTTCAAAATTATATTTTAAAATGTTTTACTGTTCAGAGCTACTGTAAGGCTGAACTACAGTTGGCTGAGTTCTGTTTGTTTTATTATTTTCTGTTTCGCCAGGAATTCAGAGTAACGATTGTGTTTCTGGATGTAAGACATTTTCACTGTGCCGGTTTAGCTCGGGGGGACCAAGGCCGTGCCCAGCAGACGTCTGATGACTGGCCACGGTTCTGTGTTCAGCCTGGGACACAACGCAGTTGTTTCCACTGAAATATTTATAGGAATTGGGTTTGGCTGTGATGCCACGTCGAGCCTGGAGCACCTTTTGCCCAGACGGCGATGTCTGGGGGTCAGGGGCTGTGGGAGCCGGCCAGAGTCGGTCACACCCCCACAGCGTCTCAGCCCGCTGAGGGAGCAGTGACTTGTGCCAGGGGCTTTCTTTCCTGGGCTGTGAGTGGGCTGTGGGGTTTCTTCTGTGGGACCAGAGACCTGGCTGTCACAGTGCGTGACCTGGACCAGACTGTGGAGTGTCCGGAGGTGCTGCAGCCAACCCCAGGAGTGTGTCTACAGACTCCCGTGGAAGGAATGTGCTGGAAGATGGCCAGAGGGGATCCATGGATTGTGTGACTTTTTGAGTGGACACAGGAGCCACAGAGATGGAGAGAGCCCGTTGACCAGTAATGTCGTCTTCCTCAGATAAGGACTCAGCAGAAGCTGACACATGTGTTCCAGGCAGAAAGCCTGTGGCCAGGTGGAGGTACCAGAGATGAGTCAGCCCCTGGAGAAGACTCGCCAGGAGTGGGCGGCACACGTAGCTGTCTGCCCTGCGGCTGCCTGCCCTGTGGGTTGTGGCTGGGCCGGCCAGTAGGGAAGTGGCGGTGGCCAGGATTTGGAAGAGGAACCGCAGTATGGGGCAGAAGCGGCAGCTCGGAGGTGGGGGGGTGATTTTTGTGTTTTGATGATGCTGTGAGGTTCCTGCAGAACCGAGGAGGCCAACCCAGCATGGTGACTCTGCGCCACTCCTCTGCAAATGACCGTAGTTGCTCCTCACCACCCTTCTGCTCTGTGGGCTCAGCCCCCTGCTCCTGTGAAAGCCGGATCCTGGAGTCGGAGAAGTGAAGTCAGGTCGCTGTGGGGAGGGCACACAGAGAACAAGCCACTGAGCAGGGAACTAGCACAAATCTACCCGCCTCCTTGCCACTGCGTCAGGGCTCCTCTCAGTCCCTCTCACCGAGGAAGCGGCCCCAGTGAAGACACGCCCCGGCAGAGTCGTGCACCTGGTTCCCACATTGGACATGAACATGGGTGCACACACACATGTCAGATGGAGGCCTAACTCCAGCTGCAAACACAGATGTCTTCTAATCCATGTGAATTTTGGATTATGTCACGTTATAGTCATTTTTCAAAAATTCAGAACAAAGCATGACCTTCCTCCCAAGCTTCCAAAGAAATAGGCTCGAAAAGGAGACGTGTGTTGCGGAGTCCAGTGTCATTGTCCCTCCCACCCCACCCCCTCGGCTTTGTGCACACACCCAGGGCTGTGATCCCACCATGCTGGTCCCCAGCACAAGTGGAGGTAACAATACTCTGACCATTACCTGGCATTTGGCAGCTGCCAAAGGAGAGTCGGAAGGGAGAGGTTATAGGAACCCAGGCGGTATCAAGGGGAAAGGGGGGTGTGCCCAGACTGAGGCCTGTGTTGTCAAATGAACAGCATTGCATGTGCAGAGATGCCAGTATCCTGAAAACTAAAAGCAGTTAGGAGACCATGTGAGCCCAGCCATCTGGTTAACCAACATTCTCAGGATTTTAAATCTAGAACTAAATATAGCCCCTTTCCCCAACAGCACTCAGCATATTGAAGAGTGTAGATAACTTGGAGCTTTGCATGTGGTGCCTGAGATAAGAATATGGATCTCTAGGCCCTGGCTTAGAGAGTCCTAGTAAACATGCCAGGTATTTCCTCTTTATTGTATTGATTCTCTTTTGGTTTGTATCAAGCTCCCATAACATAGTGGCTTCCAACAGCAACCATCATGTTTGCTGCTGATACGTGGGTTGGCCATGTGGTTGTTTTAGTCTGGATGGGCCCTCCTGATAGCCACCTACTAGTGGTGTGGCTGGGCTGGATGGCCTGGGAGGACCTTGCTCACACGCGTGGTGACTGGCAGGCTGGTTGTTTGCAGCCTCGGCTGCACACGGTCTGTCATTCCCCAGCCACTAGCTGGGCGTCTTCACATGGTGGTCTTAGAGTTCCAAAAGCAGCAAAGGAGGACAGGCCTCAATACATACGGACTTACCAAGCCTCTGCTTGCAGCTCACTTGCTATTGTCCCTTTGGCCGAAGCCAATACCTCTTCCAAGCTTAGACACAATGCGGGAGGAGACTGTACAGGCCATTGATCCCAAAAGGCAGGAACAGATTGGGGCTCATCACCGCAACAGCTCTGCCATGCTGTAAGCCTGAGATTTAACTCAGCAAGCGGCAGCTGGTTCCTCCCAATGCCCGTGGGAGGACAACTCGGAACCATCTCGTGGTTCACCCTCCCATGAAAAAGTAGTGTCAAGTAGAACCAAACAGCGCAGACGTGGTAATTGTCATGGAAAATCCCCCAAGTGGCTGGAGACAGGAAGTGGTTGAGAGGCCAGACCTGGCCCAGCACCAAAAGGAAGGCCCTGACCTTCCGCTCCCAAGTGCAGAGTGACCAAGAGGCAGATCTGGTCTCTGAAGTGCTAAAGCAAGAGACACCACCAGGGCGAGGGTGGGGGGTGTGTCCCAGGAAGAGGTGCAGGTGTTTTGGGACACTAGGCACTGGCCCTTGGTGAAGGGCAGTAACCAAAGGGACAGAAGCAGTGTTCCTTTGAAGGTGTAAAATTGGGATCTCTTGGTCAACAGAGATGCTGGCCGCAGGTGTCCAGGCTCAGTTGTGAGGTACACGTGCATTTCCGTCAGTCTTTTAGCAAATGTTCTCTATGGGCAGAAAGTATGGTGTATCCCTTAGAGGAATGGTTCTCAAACTCCTGAGCACAGAGTCCTTGTGTGGGCGGGGACCCAGGGACTCCAGGGCTCTGGCTGCTGCTTCATCCCTGCAGATAGGTGCTTGAAAAAAAAGATGGCATCCACATGGCACACAATTTACTCAGTGTGCAGTTGAGCCGTTTTAGTACGATCACAAAGTTGTACGTCCCTCACGCATCAGCAGACGAGGTTTTATCTGGTCGTGTCTATCTGAGGTCTGAAGGAGATTGTGTTTGAAGGAGGAAAAGATTATGCCAATAAAATCCAGTTGGGAATGACTGTTTTCATTTTATTCTAGTTGAGGGCCCTTTTCTCCTGTGATTTTCTAGTTCTGTTTTAAATGCCTGGGAGAACAGGAAAGAGGCTTGGTATCTGAGAACGATGGGGTAAAGCCTATCGCAAACATTCACTTTTTTTCCACAGAAGTGCCATTTAGGACCTCATCCGACATTTTTTAAGCCCTTTTACACAGTTCTGAGGTGGTTAATGGAAATTAGAATGAGTGGTCGGGCTGCAGAAAAACCCGTGGATGCAGCTGAAGTACCTCAATGGTCAGGATGGGAAAAGGTCTCTAATCAGTAGAGGGGGCTGCTTAGTGTAGGAATGACTCCTCTGGCACCCCCTAGCTGTCCCTAAAGGCGCTACCGTGGGTCAGGCAGCAGTGACTGATGTTCAGGTTAATGTTAAAAATAAAGAAGACCAGAGTCATCTTCGCAAAATGTTCATCCAGAAAAGTTGGAGACTTAGAAGTTGGGGGTCAGAACAGGGTGAGCGTGAGCTGGTCCCGGGAAACACTTCGTTGTCTGGCACACTGTCTGTGCTCAATAAATGTCCTTCACGCTTTTCTTTGGGAAGGTCATGCTGTAAAGTATCCCATTCCCTGTTGATATCACACGAATGAACCATTCACGAATTGCTTTCCTCTCACTAATTTGATGGATGCATTCTTGGCAAGGCCTCGTTTGGGGGCAAAGATGTAACTGTGCTTGCTAGGGTTCTCCCACCAGGATTCGTGTTCGTCTGCCAGAGGCCTGGGCTAATTGGATTATTTTCAGTTGGCAAATCTGGTTTTCCACCTCGGAACACATGCTTATTGTCTCTGCTTTATTCACAGGGCATGTTCCCGATTTGAGGTGAAACCATGAAGAGGAGATAGAACAAATAATAATGCTTTTCCGCAACCGCTTCTTGCTGCTGCTGGCCCTTGCTGCGCTGCTGGCCTTCCTGAGCCTCAGCCTGCAGTTCTGTGAGTATCCAGGAGGGGAGGGGGCTTCGCTCGGAAACCGAGAGTCCTCCAGACAAACACGCGAGCCCAGAGCCTTTGTTGTCCAAATGAACAGGGGGATTTAAAACAACGAGTCTTCTTATTATTGTTGCTGATGGCGGTGGGGGGGGGGGGGGCCGGGGGCAGGAACCCTGAACCACTGAGCAGCTGTTCTGGAAGTCTGTCTTGGCCACCAGGAACAAGAGCGCTCACTAGGCCTTGGGACCTGTTTTTGGCTTCTGCACACATTCCTAAACTGCCTGGTTATTCCTGGACTGTTAAATTCCCAAGGCAAGACACAGAGTGACCCAGCTTGTTTTCTCGTCATACCGAGCCACACAGAGCAGAGGTATTTGGCCCTCTCTGGCTGATTCTTTGAGGGTAGGTGTCTGTCTTCTGTTCAGTGAGCCGTGAGGCTGGAGTTGTTGGGGAGAGTGGGAGCAGTAGGTGTAACACTCGGCTCCCTGGACAGCAGGGACTGTGCGTGGGAAATTACGTGCAGCGAGGCATGAGTGCAGCCAAGGAAGCCAGGACATGGACCTCACCGCCCAGCACTTTGACCTTCACTAGGAGCCTGTGCACAGATTGGGTTCAAATCTGTGCACCACACTGCTCCCTCCCCTAAGAGTAGCCATCCTCAAACACAGATCCAGCCCTAACCCCCTTGGTTGTAACCCTTCAGAGGTGGCCCATAGGGTCTCAGAGGCCCTCTGCCGTCCTGTGGCCCCTCTCACCATGGACTCGATGATGCGGTGTTACCCACTTACTTGGCAGTCTCTTCATATCCAGCCTGATGTCTATGCCTAGATGTCAGATGCCACCGGCCCCTCCGCCTGGAGTGCTCTCCTCCTCGCCTCCCTCCCTCCCTCTCTTCCGCCTGGTTCCCTCAGTCCTTTTCTCCTGCAGTGACCTCCCATGAGCCCCAACCAAGCCGGGTGCTTCTGGACACACAACCAGAGTGTCCTGAGCCTGTTGCCCTCCTTGCACTAAACTCGCAGTATCGTGATTTTCAGTTCACGTATCTCTTCCTGCTACAAGACTGTCTGCTCTCTGAGAGCAGGAACCACGTCCTGTTTCCTCCCTCTGTCCCCGAGGAGCTGCACTGCCCAACACGCAGTAGGTGTTTTACGAATGCTTGTTAGATGAATGAATGAATCTCCTGCTCTAAAAAGCAGGCTGCTCTGGTTCCCTTTCCCTCTGGTGCTGATATTTGCAGTCAACAAACTGTGCCATGTTGGGAACGGCGTTTTTGTTGACGCCTGCCTTCCCTCCATTTACCTCCTCACCTGGGTGGGTGGGAAACAAGGGCTTGGTACCCATCACCACCGAGGACGACGGCTCTGTGAGGAGGTGGCATTTCTGCTACAGTTTGAACGATGGAAAGATGAGCAGGTGGCTTGGCGAGTGGGATGTTCCAAGTGCACCGCAGAAAGTGGGAAAGACTTGGCATTTGGAGGTTTGCAGAGAGGCGGCTTTGAGCAAGCTTCCCTGATCGACCCCCAGGGTGTGACAGACTCCGTGCATGCGTCTGCTGCATTTGACAGCCTGCTTCGAACAGCAAAGGGACTTTAAAATACTCACTTCGTCCTTCCATAATAGGGAAAGCGGTCGAGAGAAAGTGGACATAGGAAGTTTAAAAATACTTCAGATGGTTAACCACCCATAAAATATGAATTCTTCCTACAGAGTTTGTTAGGGCTCTCTGTCGTTTAATTGTGTATAAGTTTTCATTAAAAACTTTCCATCCTTTGGTTGGAGAGCTAGGAGGTTACAATCAGCCTTGATTTTTATCCTGAGAAGCTGCCAGGATCTGAGACGTGAATGGGAGTTACTTGTGTTTGCCGCGTTTCTGTTGCATGAGGTGGTTTCCACATCACTGAGTTGGCCTGTGTGTTTTGCTTATATAACTCTTGTGAAAGTCACTTCTGTTTTGGGAGAGCCAATTTGCAGCCATACTTTTTGAAAGGAAAATTTTGCAGGGTAAATTAGCCTGTGTAGGTCTGAGCTCTTTTCTTCTGGGATGCGTTGGAGTTCGGAAAGAAGTGAAGATATGGGTGTTCTTACTGCTCTTCTGCTTCTAGGTAAAATGTAATTTGGGGATTTACCCATTTCTGTGGGTAACTGCTTTATTTCTCTAATTGCTTTGTTGGTTGCTCGTTTTTATGGTGTTAGAAACTTTGCTAATTCATGATACAAAGGTATATGCTAGAGTGATACTTATGTTTTCATTCCTACCCTGAAATATATGGACTTTTTCTTCACCATTTCTTTTGGCTAATTTTGAATACTGGATTAGCATGTACAATCCTTTTAGGGAATATATTTTAGGCAATAAGATAAAACTTGGTTTTCTCATGCTTTAAGTAAACACTACAGTTTTATTTATTTGCTTTCTGCAATGATTATATATTTTGTCCTGTTGGTAATTTTCTTTTTTCCGATGTTTTGAACATGAGACAGTTCTGACCCAGGTTACAGTTTTAAAAATTGGGTTGTTTAAATAAGCATTTTTCTTTCTCTTAACACAGAAAGAATGTCTGTGATCCCACATATATTCATTAAGTGCTTACGGGTGTTGGGTATTTCTCTACACTCTGGGGGCATGGGTCTCAGAAAAAGGATAAAAAAGTTTAAGATACAGTTTTTAGTTTCTCAAAATATGTTTATTTTAAATGGTACCAATAATTAGCTATTTGCTTATAGCCTTTAATAAAAATCATTAATTTTGTATTTTCAAGTCCTTGATGCTTTTGAGTTTTGAAATAGGGACATTCTGAAATTCCTGATATTTAAATTGTAGAAAGGAACAAGTAGGTGTAAATATCTCTAGTTAATCCAGTTAAAATGAGCACAAAGAGAAAAATAACATCTTAAATAAATTGAGGAACTGTTTTAGGGCAACAGGGCAAGACCACTGGGACGTGAAGAGTCGTGAATGATTAGTTGTTTTTTCTTTTTCTGCTCGTTTGTAGTCGTCCGTTTTCCTGCTCTGCGTGTACACAGCCTTTGCTTAGTGCTCATTTCATGCTCATTTCTCTGGGTTCCCACCCGCGTTCCCAAAATGGCAGCCGACAGCAGGCAGCCCTGGGGTCGCAGCCCCGTGTCCGGCCGCACAGCAGCTGGGTGCCCTCAGGCGGGTTTGACTTCCAGAGCCTGTTTCTTCCTCTGTGAAATGGAGTAGATCGTCGTTGCCGCGGCGGTTGTTGCTTTGCCATGTTAGTGTGAGAACGGAAACCTTGTGGGGAAACCCCTGGCCTCTGGAGGCATAATCAGCATAAACCTTTCTGTTTTTAAATCTTCACCCGAGGACAAGCCCACTGATTTTAGATAGAGGGGGAGGGAGGGAGAAAGAGAGGGAGAGAAACATCAACGTGAGAGAGAAACATTGATTGGTTGCCTTTTGTATGCACCCCAGTCAGGGACCAAAGCTGCAACCTAGGCATGTTCCCTGACTGGGATTTGAACCTGCAATCTTTTAGTTTACAGGACGATGCTCCAGCCAACACAGCCACATCTGCCAAGGCAGCATAAACCTTTTAGCAACAGTATAGAGTCCTGTGGCAATGCACCACCCTGAGAAACCAGGGCTCTTGGTGTTCCAAAGGCTGCTAAGGCTTATGTTACTGTAGCTGTGGGAGGAGGGGAAAGGGAATACATTATACGTTTATTTGTTTTGTATCAGAGTTCATTGGCCATGGTAGGGCTTCATGTGAACTGGGCACATGGCACCTGTATCTGGAGGTCACCTTCTTGGGCAGGGCCCCAGTTGACCAGAGCAGGTTCCAAGTGAGATGTCAAAGGTGGACTGGAGATGCAGGTCCCCAGGTGGAAGAGAGCAGGGCTGCCCTGCGGAAGTGAAAGCCACTTCTTCAGTATCCGGAGAGCCCTTTCTGCAAGAGGAGCTGGGCCTGTTGTGGGGGACCGTGGAGACACGTTTCAGCCAAGCGTCAGTGTTGCACAGAGGTGGGACGCGTGGTGTGCCACCTCTGGAGTGTCGCTCTACGAAGAGTGGATGGTTAGGCAGGTCATTGCACCTGATCCCATTCACAGTCTCTTCAGACTCCGAGGTTTTATGATTTCATTCCTTGTGGATGCGGTGTCATGAGCATGTGCCACATCGTTGTTTGGCAAAGCCCTCGAGCTTCCGCTGTGTGCTAGGCCGGGGCTGGGAGTATCGTCTCTCCAGGGCTGCTGGAGCCCTGCGTCTAGTGGAGAGTCAGGAGCAGCCACTTGCAACACAGTGTGCTCAGTGCCAGGACAGGTAAGAGGTAGCAGCGTGAGGACACGAGAAAGAACAGGGACACAGGAGCCAGACTGCCAGGGGCAAATCCCTGGCCTCTACTTACCAGCTATGTGGCACACTATTTCCCCTCTCTGTGCCTCGGTTTCCTCATCTGTAAAATGGGTATAATGAGAGTCCTATTTCATAGGGTCAGTAAAGGACTAAGAAAACTGATACAAAACACTTAGAATAGTGCCTGTCACATAGTAATCACTGCCTGTATGTTTGCTAAATAGAATGAATTCAAAATCACTTAAGGCAGGGGGATGTGGAAGGATAGAGGACAAGAAGCTAATCCAACCTGGAGGTCAGGAGAGACTCCCAGAGGAGGTGACATCTGAGCTTTGTCCTTGAGGGAAGAGTAGGAGCCGAGAAGGAAGCGGGAAGGGGGTGCCTCACTGCCGGGAATGGGAATGCACAGGCAGCTGGTCCCCTGTGCGTAGCTGTGACAGTGGACAAAGGCCAAGGCCACCCCCGTCTCCACGTTCTCTCCTGAAGGAGCAGGGAGCCACTGGGGCAGGGAAGACACCATCGGCCTCGTGTCTCAGAAAGACCACAGTTCCACGCGGTGTTTGCCGCAGTGTGGTCTCCTGAGCTCCTCGATCCGAGTGACCCGGGGAGCTTGTTAGAACGAACACCTGTCCCAAAAACAAAAGAGAGTGCACACTTTGGAGCCCTGCCTTCAAACTCAGAATCTTGG